GAAAACTAACTTTCAAAAAGGAAACGTCTGTTTTTTGTTCTCCTGAATATTTTTAAAATTTAACAAAATAATTAAATTTTTATTTAAATCTTGTAAAAATTTTATTGAAATATCAATAATCATTCAGCATCTCACATATTTAACTATTTGTTACTTATTTAATAAATACCTATACAATGAATTGATTTTGAAAATATCTATTTTTTGTTCAGTTCAGAATTGTTCGTAAGATAGAATATCGCAAACAGAACAATGCTTTTTATATAATATACTTCTGAAAATAACAATTTATTATTATTATTATCTGATCTTAGAAACCCAAGAAGTTCGATGTGAAAATAATTGTACAGTATTCTATTTTTTTTAAAAGATTTCTTTTTCCTATGTATCCACCTTTAAATAAAAATAATGCGTTATACATTGTGATGTAATTTAATAAGTTTTGTAAATTACTATGTTTAATCCAGCCAGATATATCTGATGGTATTCTGTGTGTAGAATTTAATCCATGAATGTTTTTGGTATTTAAATCAACTTGCCATTGATCTTTCACCAATAATTGATACTTTTTACAAAATCTATGTAATTATCACAACATAGTCAACAAACGATAGACTGAAGAACACCTTAAGTTGCTGAAAAAAATTTATTTAAACGTAACTAACGTTTTTGGCCAATTCGATTAGCTATCTTCAGGTTAAATGATAATAAATAATAGTGATCTAAAAATAGAATATATAAATTCAAATATAAAAAAAACAAAGATTTAATCAGAGCAAATTCAAATAGAGAAATTGATGCACAAATTATAACAAAATTCATGTATATGTTACTGTGAATGACCGATATCTGGCGAATGTAAACATTCTCTGGTGAATGTCAGCATTCACATAGTCATTTCGTGAATGTACGAAATATTTGCTAAATATCATTATTTATCACTTACACCGGCAAATGTCGACATTCAGCATGCACTGATGATGAATGTTGAATAAAAGTATTTTTATTACTTTATACAAAAATGCAACTTTTTAATACGTCAAAATAGGAAAAAGCTTAAGTAACAGCACATGTAAATAAACTGTTGAACCTAAAACGAACAGTACATTCTAAATCATTAAAGAAAATAAAACAATAATAAACTTACACATAAATTATGTGATTAACGTTATACAATCTTATTTATTGCAACAACTTAAACTGTTATAGCAATTTGAATTGCACAGGAGTCCCTTGCTTTTACAACTGCATTTATTCGTGGANATTCTAAATCATTAAAGAAAATAAAACAATAATAAACTTACACATAAATTATGTGATTAACGTTATACAATCTTATTTATTGCAACAACTTAAACTGTTATAGCAATTTGAATTGCACAGGAGTCCCTTGCTTTTACAACTGCATTTATTCGTGGAACACTTCTCTTTGCAATGGTTAAAAGCAAGGGACTCTTGTCCCTTGCTTTTACAACTGCATTTATTCGTGGAACACTTCTTTTTGCAATGACAGCGTATATAGCACTGCCCTCCACTTTTCGAATTAGCTGCAGCTGCCTCCCTCGGTGATATTTTTTGGGAAGAAATATCATCTATGGAAAGTAACTTATCTTTACAAATTACGAACTCATTACGAGTATAAAGCTGCTTGATAATACCATTTTTATTTGTTAATTTATAAAAGTCAGAGTCTTCTATTCCAACAACAACCGCCAACACATTTCGGGCATCTGTGCAACCACGGTCGACATCAGGTACTTGTATTCTTACGGTATTACCAATTTGAACAGAAGGAAACGGCGAAAAATGTGGCGACAGACTGTCGCTTCTCTGTCGACATCGGCTTCTCGGGTGTCGTTTCGACCTTCACCAAAGCTTATCTGTGTTTGTCGACATACACCGGCGATTGTTCGAATGTATAATAATAAAACCAAATATTCGGTCTTACACCAACGTATTTTGTATGTGTCGACATTCACCGGAGAATATCGACATTCTCTAATTTCGGTCTTTCACAGTAACATATACATATATCAGATAAAAAAAATAATAATCAGATATAATATAACATTAGCCGGTTGAACCCTGACGCCTTGAGGCTAAAGCCGCGCGTTTTACAGCCCTCGAGACATGCGGCTTAAGGCTCTGGACATAAAATTTATTTGATTTGCATAAATCCGTGTGATAGAATATTACGTATTTAACGATGTATTTCGTCATCATACGTTGGATTCTTAATAAGATTATGTTTTTGAATGATTTTTTTGCTTAGTTTATTTTATATACCGAATTTTCGGTCCCCTGTCGCGTGCGAAACGTTAAACTGCAATTCCGGTTCGTTTATTACATATATTACCGCTAAATCGGTCCCCTCTGTTTACATAGCTATAAATAACTGTAGCACGTGTTCAAACAGTCATTCAAGGACACTAGCTAAGGCAAGAATTGTGACAAACGATTACTGACGCGCAAAGCGATGCGTGACGCGAGTGGTGCGCGCGTGACGCGCGTCAAATTTTTTGTACATAGTAATAGTACCGTTAAATCGGCCCTTTTTTTGCCCAGATTATAATGCAAAGGCATTTGTTTACTTTGAAACAAAACAAATGCACGTGTTTTACGACCAGGGGTTAAAAGTTCACAATTACTTCCTGACTCAGCAGGAGAATGGTGGGGTTGGGGTAACTAGGTCAGGTTAATTAGTTTTAAACGTATTTCTGCTTCGAGAAGTGAATATTAGACATTATATATATATGTTTTAAACGAATATTACAATATTCAAATATAATTAGCAATGATGAGTTTTTTCCAGCGAATAGACAACATCCGGAAGTACTTCCTGAAGAATGCAAACACTTGGTGTCTGCATTTTTTTTTTTTTTTTTCTTTCTACAACGATTTTTCTATACAGTTCGTTGAATATTCTCTAGCAGTTAGCTAGAGAATATTCAACGATAGAAACAGCTATTTTTAAAGCCATTATGTCTCTAATTACTGTAATGTGAGGGGAATGGATGAGTCATCTGTAGGTTGAAGTTAAAACAAGTTTCCTCTCAGATAATGCATACTATATATTATTTTTATATTATTTCAACTAATTTTACAATATTTGACTGTAATTCGCAATTTTGCATGCGTTTATTTACATATTTTCTCATATTATGTAATGTTAAGAGTTGAATTTCCTGGAAAAATTTTCGAGTAATCTTCTGGTCTAAGTAAAGTCAAATAACATGAAAAGTAGTAAAATTACAGATATAACATCAAGAAAATAGCTATTTCTCAACGTTTGTTTACGTTCTAACTCTGAACACGTGATTTTGGAAGTCATTGGTTCTTCGCGGGAAAATCCTGAATAGGCGGTTCTGAGAAAACACTCATTGGTTAATATTAATTCAGTCATAATAAAATTAACTAATTATAGCATAAAAGGCGTCTAAACAAGAAATTTATAGCCAATTAACGGCAAGAAGGTTTCCCATAGACATACTATAGGAAGGTGAAGTTTCCCGGGAATATTTATGACGAGATGAACTGATTTGTCGATGTTACAGTCAGACAACCTAAAAAAAAGCCAATCCAAGTAATTATATTCACAACATTTATTAAATTTTAAATATTTTAAAATAAAAAATAATAAGTATCGCTTATCACACCGGGAAGCCGACGCCATGACAGTACGTGTAACTTGACACACCCCGGTCATAAACCAATCTTTGAACGTAAACATCGGGGGTTCTATTGAAGCTAGAATGACGCGGTCTGTTTTGTTATACGTAGAAACACTTCAACTTTGTAACTGCTGTGATAAACAATACGATTTTTTAAATTTAATTTTTTTATATGAAAATACCTAGAACTTTTCTCTTTTAAAAAATTTTTTTTCGTAAATAATAAAAACAAATACTATAATCAGTGAAAATAAAGTGTTTATAGACAAAATAAAAAAACAGCGCGTCTCTAGCGCAAAAATTAAAAAAGATATAGCAGTTTTAAAATATTTTACAAAAAATCCAGGCCAGGGAACTTGTCATTTTAAAAAAAATTCAGGGTTCAACTGGTTAGGAAATAGTACCAAAAATGTAAAAATCTAAGACACAAGTTTTAAAAAGCTAATTAACTAACAAGTAAGTAGTTCCAAGCAGACAGAATTCCTTCTGTGTACCTTTCATATTGATGCGACGTATTCTGTAGCTATCCTTTATAAATTTCAATCTTTTCTCTGCTTATGTCTAAAGTCAGGGAGTCCAAAAACTTAACAATATATGCTTCCTCTCATTTTAATATAGAGACTTCAGCTTGCGCTGTCTAAGATAATGTTGTGGCGTTAGATCCCTCTTAGACATTATATTTGTGATCCTTCAACCCGATTCCCAAATTTTTTATAGTAACACAAATATAGCTTTTTTTTTATTCCTAAATGCATGTTTTTATAAGGAATACAGTAGAGCCTCGATTATCTGACTGAAATGAAAACTGGGGTTGGTCGGATAATTGAAAAGTCAGATAATCGAAAAGTATGAAAAAANGTTTCCACAGGATTTGATTTGGAAACGAACCAATGGATTAGAGTATTTGTAGAAAAAGTAACTTATAATTTACAATGTTTTAACAATTATGCATTAAAAACTATGAATTATGTTTATGTGAAAATTATATTAAATTGTTAACTAATCTGATTTCCACTTAACATATTCTGTTGTAATATACAGTATATAAAACATTAAATACAAGTTTCTGTAAGGTTAAAAAATACTGTATTGTCTAATAAAAAATGTAAAAAAAACTTAATTTGCAATTTACATTTGTTGTTTTTGATTATTTTTTTATTATAGTAAATGTACAAAAATGCTTCATTGAAATGAAAAACATAAAAGTTACTTCTTGATGTTTAAAACTCTCTCAACATTAAAATCTTTGTCACGTAATTTAGTTTAATTTTAACATTAATATCAATACACACAAGAGCTAGTGAAATTATAAATAAGTGCTTNTGGATATCTTTCAATGCATCGCTTCGATAACTATAAATAAACCTTATCTACTATTTCTATCGTTGGTTTTTATTCTTATCATCTACTTTTGTTTTTCGACTATAAACAATGTTGTTGTAAGTAAACATAAACATATATTTAATTTCAAAATATTATTCACTTTTCAACAATACTCTTTATTGATGCAGGACATGACTGGTATCGGTTATGAAGATGGAAAAATGAATGCGAAGGAATTACGTAGAAAACGAATTCAGTTATTAAAAGATACAAATAGATCGAGAAAAACACAGGAGTTTCCTCCCGCATATCCGAATGGATGGATACCTTTGTTAGAATCTAGAGATCTACCTGTTGGAAAGTGCAAGCCTGTTACTGCTCTAGGTAAAATATTAAAACATTACATTATTCTATAGATATTAAGATTGATAGTTAAATTATTATTGCCTTATTGTCCTTATTTCAATTCTCACTATACAGTCGACCCCCTATAAGATCATAGATACATCCCATTCTTTAAAAATCCGATTTCTTACGAGTCCTTCCAATCACGGCCTGACACGTGTGAAGTTTACGGACTACGGCTGATTGAAAGGTTTTCTTCCATAAAATTAATCGAATCTAGACTAATCCGACTCAACATTTCCAAAATACGTATATTTTTTTGCAAATAATCCGTATAAACTACGCTATAAACAAAAAATTGTAGGATTACTTACCGAGTGTGCACCATTCTACATCGCCATTGCTCAAGCTTGTTTTCGTCGCCGAACAGCTCAGCAAACAGCGGCCAAATAACTTATTTTTCTGCGAAAACTTCGTTGAACTTTGGAGACGTCATTAATATAAATAATTTTTATGGCCGTTGAATAAGAAGTGTTACTTTCACAAGAAATGTATAAAATTAGTGCTGTATTAGATTACGGTACCTAATTTACATACTGTACAGACGATAATAAACTCAATTTATTGCCTAAAATTTTCGTAGCGTGGCGCCAAGCTAGACGGCGGAAATTATATATTTAATTATAATGAACTTTGGAGACATCATTAATATAAATAATTTTTATGGCCGTTGAATAAGAAGTGTTACTTTCACAAGAAATGTAGAAAATTAGTGCTGTATTAGATTACGGTACCTAATTTACATACTGTACAGACGATAATAAACTCAATTTATTGCCTAAAATTTTCGTAGCGTGGCGCCAAGCTAGACGGCGGAAATTATATATTTAATTATAATAAAGTTACAATTAGTTAATATATAATTTTATATACAGTACCTAATTTATATATAATTAATATATAATTATATGTACAGTACCTAATTTATATATAATT